AAATGACAATATTGCCCAAATTACTTTATCTATTTCAGAGCGTGCCAGTGTTCCTCACCAGGGCTTTCTTTACAAATTTAAATACTGAATTGTCGTCCTTTATTTGGAATAAAAAACATCCACGGATAGGCAGTAAGATGTTACAGTTACCCCATGGTCTTGGTGGCTTGTCACTCCCTAACTTTTTATATTACTACTGGGCGGCCAACATTAGAGCCTTACTGTACTGGTTGAGAGAGGAAAATCCTGTTCCTACTTGGGTAATTCTAGAGAGGAAATCGGTTACGGCGAGCTCTCTCTCTCTCTCCTTTCCTTTGCTCCCGGTTACCGTTTAATCAACCTATCTCAACTTATACTTCTAATCTGGTTGTAACTTTTACAATAAAAACCTGGAATCAGTACAGGAGGTTGTTTAAAAGTACAGAATTATTATTGTCTGCTCCAGTATCAAACAACCATATGTTTGCTCCTTCACTAATGGTCTCTGTTTTCAATACTTGGCGTTTAAAGGGAATAACTTCTCTAAATGATCTTTATATAGACAATAAGGTTGCCTCATTTGAACAGTTAGCACAGACATTTGATATCCATAAGTCACAGTTCTTCAGGTATTTACAACATTTGTAATGTTGTAAATACCTGAGACATTTTGTAATGTCAAGCTCTGGATGTTTTCCTCTATGCCCCCCAACTTCTCTTATAAATGAGATTCTGATGTGTAAGTCTGTAACAAAAAGCTCTATGAGTAGAGTTTATTCTCTGCTCAGCTCATTTTCTGACTCCAGTTTAGATTCTTTGAAGGGCAAGTGGGAGATGGACTTGGAGGAATCCATATCAGACACAGTTTGGCAAAAAAAATTATTCAAAATATATACTCATCCTCAATATGTGTGAAACATGTTATAGTTCAATTCAAGGTAGTACATCGTCTACACTGGTCTAAGGACAGATTGTGCAAATTCAAAAAGGACTTGGATCTGACGTGTGATCATTGTAAACAATCCCCTGCCACACTTTTACACACATTCTGGTCCTGTCCAAAGCTACATGGATACTGGCAAGGCATCTTTGACACCTTTTCAGGACTATTTGGATGAACTGTTCATCCATCACCATTCATCTCTCTCTCTTTGGGGTAGCTCCAGCAGAAGCTTCCTTCAGTGAACATCAGAGGACGGTGTTAGCTTTCTGCTCTCTACTGGCTAGAAGACTTATTCTTCTTCGATGGAAGGATCCACATCCTCCAATATATGGTCATTGGTTAAGAGAAGTTGTGTCTTACATTCGTTTAGAGAAAATTAGATATACTGTTAGGGGATCTGTAAACAGGCGGCACGGTGGCTCAGTTGGTAGAGCTGATGCCTCTCAGCAAGGTCGTCACCGGTTCAAATCCCGGTCTGGGGACCTTTCTGGGT